AGTCGCAGGTCACGTCTGAGCGTGCTATTCAAGCACTGGAGTTCAATTCCGCAAGAAATAGTCTTCAATAAGGGTGTTTGCGAGATTACTTAGCTGGCAGACTACGTTAGGAATAAGATATTGTAGCTAAAATCTGATTACACGACTGTAAACGCTAGTCGACAACTAAAACGACCACTTGATTGCGTGCAGTGAGAAAGGCACACGCCGAATCCAAGATCGAGAGACCTTATACGTTGTCTGACACGCCCTGGTTCGCCCCTAGTGGCGACAAGTGGGAACGCGTCTGGGCACTGCGATTGACTGTGAAGAGTGCAAATCAACGTGTCCCACAAGGAGGAAAGTCGGAAATGAGTAGAAGCCGCCTCTAGCAGTAAAATACAAGTCGACGCACCAGAGAACTGCATAGTAGCTAGCATAAGAAGAAAAGAGAGCAAGGGGCACAGATAACGGCACCTACATTGCCCTCAACTAGCGCGTTGATTACGTTTCCCAGAGTGGATAGGGACTTGTTGATGTTTTTGGCTTCGTCTAAGACGGCGCCTTCGGCGCCAGTTTTGGAGACCTTTTCGCTGCCAGCCAGATCTACGAGGTAAAGCTTCCCGTGCAACTTCTTTTGCGTCTCCAAATTCTCCTGTGTCACTGTGATCATGAAGACTGAATGCGAACGCGAACTGTGCTCATTCATGTCTGTTTTAGAGAAGAAAAAATAAACGCAGAATGTTAGTGAATGATGAGGTAAACGCACTGACCTTTCTGATGCTAAGCGAGAGATAATACAATAGATGCAAAGGTTAGGGTTTCTGCTATAAAGCAACTAGAGACTAGAAGGTCTGAGTAAATAATTGGAAATCGAGTACTCTGGTGAGAGAGGTCAGTATTCACAGAACACTAAACGTTCGTAAGAAGAGGAATAAGTTGAAAGGAAACAGCAAGGGGCAACCTACTAGCCAGTTTTTTTATATTTTTTGAAATCCAAAGGGCAGGTAGACCCTGGAACGCAGAGTTGATCATAATTCACAAACAAATGGCTACATTAAATCAGCGAAGTCGAGCATGAATGCCTTAAGAGGGCTTGCGTATAAAATGTGACGAGTTCAGTAAAGTTTCCGAGGTGTCAACATCTTCCACGGAACATGCTTTCGGGTAGCTCATAGAGGCCACTGCAATGCAGCATGAGGCAACAAAAGAAGCTGCCAAAATCGCCTTGATGAAGATAATGTTGATCACTTGGGAGATAACATAACTATGATTTGTATCAGCTAGCATAAATGCCGGTTAAAATGACTTCGGGCGCACAGTATCACGAACCAATGCAGTTAAGGCACTGTGATCAAAGATTAGATCTCCGAAAATCTTGCCAAAGTTTGAAAATGGTCGGGGTCAGCATTCTTCCCAGGTACGCATTAACCACATTAGCTTACTGACCACCAATAGAGTGATGGAGCCAACCCGAAACGGGAAATGAGGAATGAGCTCCCATCTGGATCGATGGAATGAAAAGTCAGTGGTGTTTAGCTGCTACTCCGGTGAGTATTCAAGATTAGCACTGGAACTCTACTCAAGAGAGCTAACACGCAAGTTGAAGCAGCAAAATTCTTCGCTTTCCCTGTGACTGTGATGCTGTCGCTGCGGGCAGAACCATCGCAGTAAAGGCCAGATGGATGCGTGTCAGTCGGAAAAGGCTCAGGCAAAGGTAATTGAAAAAAGCACACAGTAGGGCAGACGATAGGAGCAACCGAAAGCATGACAGGTGAGCGCAAACTTTTTGGGTGTGGGATGTTCAGGGAGGGTGGATATACACCGTCTAAGACTTACGAAAATCTTTCGAACAGGCGATGCTACTGCCTTTGCCAGGTGAATTTTATAACGACTTGGTCTCGATATTTTTTTAGATTCACAAGGTTATAACCATGACCTAAAAGGCCTTGTTATCGTTTACCCGGGGCATTAACTTCAGTAGATGAACCCTAGAAGGACTATATCATCAAGGTAGTCAAGACCAAACAGTCGGCGTCCTGATTCTAATTCGACGCCATTAAAATAGCGTAGGACATGGGTACTTGTACTTACTTGTACTTAGTACGGCTACGATCGTGCCTGATCTAGCCGGCCTCCATGATGTTAAGAACTGTACCTTTCCACGCGTGGCGATGCACGGCAGCAGATCGGGACAGTTCAATCCATTCTCTTGGCCAACGAACGGAAGCTGGTCCAAGAACCATCTCCATGTCTTGACGAACAGTGCCGAACCAGGTTTTGAGTTGACCCCCCTTTTCGGCGCCTCCAAATGAGCAACGGTGCCGAATCGAGGGCAAAAACACTGAGCTTGCGAGGTGGATGACGAAGGACATGACCAAACCACCTCAGTCGTCTTACTTCGATGGCCAGGGATATCCTTGTGAGTTGGTCGTGAGTGCGGACAGGTGTCTGAGTACTGTAACCGGGGCTTCTGATAAGCACAAAACGAATCAAATTGTGAGGATCAGTAGCACTGGCCTACGCCGAAATTTTCGCGGCAAAAGCATACTAAAAAAGCAATTCTATAGGAAATAAGTCAAAGTTTGTCTCGTAAACACAGAAACAGTAAAAATAACAAGAAACCAGAAGGGCTAAAATATAGTACTTACTGGTCGAAGCTACGTGTCGGTTTGCTTTCCCTTCGTCAATGACGTCAAAAACTTCCTCGGGAGTTGATACGAATCTTTCTGTGGCACCCTAGGTTATAATGAGAACGGCGCACATTATTCTTACCTTTACATAGGGGACACCATTCTGATCTTCGTGTACGGGTAAATGTGTTTTGGAAACTAGAAGAAAAATGATTATGAAGTATTATTTTTACTTACTATCGAGGAGGTCGCCAATTTTGTCCCGGTAAATTTCGAAATATGAGACCTAGTTAACTTCGAGTCAAGAAATGAATGTGTACTTTTATATGAAATTCTAGGTTCTCGTCCATGTTATAAATGTGGTTAAATATGTCATGTATTATCCGAGGAATGATACCCTGATAAACTGGGTCGCCCAAAGCACCCTAAAGGGGAGTTAACCGATGCCTGATCACCAACCTCCATAGTGAATGTCTTCCCACTGGCCGTCTGACCGTAAGCAAAAATTGTTCCATTGTATCCATTTAAAACGTCGGCCACTATAGGTTTGGCTACGACTTCATACAACTCCTCTTGTTGGGATTTTGGTTGGAAAACGTGGTCGAACGTGAACGTTTTGCCCTAAAAAGCATTCATAATCGGTGAGGGGAGAAGTGCTTACAAGATGTACAGATTGGTTACTATCGCCGGGGAAGGAAAGGATGAACTTATCATCTCTGGCTTTCTCGGATTCGTTAAGCGGTCGAACCCGGCAAATAACTTTGATGTTTTCCGCCATTTGAAAGGGTTTTAACAATCTAAAGAGATGAGATGTTTGGTTGTACAAACCGGGTAATGTTCAGAACATGCAGTTTTGTTAAAATTGAAAATAAACTTGAAGACAAAGGACAGGGACCATAACGCACAGCTAGCATTTAAATGAGTTTTCTATGTGCTTGATTTCGGGAAATAATAGTACTTGACTACAATCGTGATTTAAAAGGCATGATTAATGCAAAATATGGGTAACTATCTGTATTTCTTTTTATAAAACACTTTTACGAGACGACAGCAGGCGAAAACTGCGAAATAACTAGGGAGACGACATAGTAGTATGTGTCTAAGCGTATTAAACTCGCTTCTAGTCTCACTAGTTGTCCACCCCCTGGAAAACCACTGCTAAGGATCTAGTGACATAGGCACCCAGCTCTGACAACCGCACTCTTGCCCATAGCTACCCCCCAACGGTTAAAGTTGCTGGTACCGCCATTGCTCAACTTTTATTAGTAGTCCCTACAGGACTAATCCGTCGAGTAGTAACTGGTACAGGCTGTACCTAGACGTCGAGTCAGCCCAAAAGCCGCACACAAACGGGTAAACCTGAACTGCTAGTACGTTATCGGGCATGGACAGGATACCAAAGTGCATTAATGTAATTACAGCATTCGGAGATGCAATTATGTTCATGCGGAGGAATTGATTTGACCAAAACAAGTAAACTGAAAATAAGAGCCACTGAGCATGTGTTTAATACCGATCGGCATCCTAGGAGGACTAGCTAGGCCTACTCATATAATCCCACGGGATTCCAATCCGTGGCCATGGATGATAGTTTCTAAGACTAAGCAGATAAATATAGAATCGCAGGCATATTGTGGATCTGGAAATTTATTTGTTGAAAACTTAAATAGAAAACGTATTTTTAGACAGATAATCAGTTTTGATTAACAGAAATAATCAAGTAAACGCATAGCTAACGCCCATACTGGAGATGCCGAAGTGCCAATAAAATTGGTCAATTCGCGGGAACAACTATATATAGCAGATTTTAGCCCTGCCAGACTGCCTATACGTCAATTTCACTGTACGCTGATTCGTTTATTTTCCTAAGCGGCTTCTTCGAATATAGTTTGCTGACGACAATCACATAAAATAAACACGTGTCCGAAATTTTCTGGCAAGTTCCCTACGGACACAATTAGTCTCTTTTGTTTTATAAGATGTTATTAAAAGGAAAAATTCAGTTCTTTTCGTAACCTATACCAACTAACAGAAGTGGAAATAAATTGCGTAATAGGGTCCGGAAATGAGACGCTAAAATAACAAACGAACTTGACGACCGCAAACTACAATAATTTTATAATAAAGCAAAGGTGTAAGCAAAACTGATTCCGTCGAAAAAAAACAATTCCCGGCGCTAGCATAACTTAGTTTCTTTTCAAGCGGAACGTCGAAACGGCGTGAAATCGTCCTCCAACTTTAATTAAGAAGGGAGTTGAAGTAATATGACTTTTCCAGTTGAGCCTCTTGCTAAGAATAATAATTACAATATCTTTTTTATATTTTCATCGCCTAGGAGGCACTTTCACGGCAAACATATGTCAATTTGACCGTTGGTGATCTAAGTCAGCGGCCGGACATAGTGCGAAAATGCGTAATGTTGTAGCGTAACGAACCATGTGCCAAGGTCACGTTCGCGCGGATTCCAGACGAGGATGGTGTTATCGGTCGTTCGTAAAGATATCGGTGTTTTTTCCCATTTCCACCATGGCATCGATCCCCCTTTGTTATCGTATCGTCTCGTATGGTTGTGTACTGCTGTCCCACCGTCAGCGCCTCCTAGGCCCTTTCCGCGACAGTTATTCCACAGCGCTGCACTCCCCACCGATGTCTATCTGACATTCCGTGACCATCCCCCATTCCAAGCGAACCGATTTTATATAGCCTTGATGTTATTTTTTAATCGATATCCCCTTTCCCTTTTTCTGCGCACTCCTTGCTTTACAATTGTATAGTTTTTATGTTACTGATCAGATATTCTTCTGAACTCCTATTTGTGTAATTGCGGTGCTTAACAACCCCGTTCGGTGTGACCTCTGGAAACCTGAACAGTTGACCTACTCCTTTAGGTGTGTGCCAACCTGAACATCCTCGGCTGGTAGAGTAGGCACTGTTTCATATCCACCAGAGACTTCTCGTTTTAAGGCAAAAGTAAAGAATAATTATCACCTAAGAAAGAGGCAATGAAAGGAAATTCCAAAGACGAAAATTGAGGCAGAGTTCAGTGATCCCCAACTTTCAAAAAACTATGGGAGAAGAAACTGCTTCACGGAAGGAGATAGAGGGATAGAATTAGTTAATACTCTGATGATAGTTCAGAATATGACAACGAAACGCCACTATAGTGCGCATGACAGCTCACGGATAAGCGTTGATGGAGACTGAATGGAATTCTGAAAATGGTTTGCAGTCAGTGAAGTCCTCCCCCAATACCAAGGACAGGCAATAAAAAGACGAGGCGTCCCAAACCCCCTCCATATTATTCCGGTCGAAAGTTTCACTCAGTTCTAGCCACGTTCATAGCTAAATTTGAGGCAGGGAAAAAGTACCTTACCGCTTCTATCAATGGCAAACCAGTACGCCTGGCACAATTCCAGAAATCAGCCTTATTTTCAATCACACTTGGCAGATGATTGGACGGCCTCCGCTTCTCAGATCAAACAAAAAGTCAATAAAATACTTGTACGCCTCACATGTGAATTTGGATGTGAAGTTTCTTTTGATGGCACATCAACAACCGTCCGAACCTTAACCATAGACTAAAGGCATATCCTGGAGATTAGTTCAAAACAGTCGTCATACAGGAGGGCGCACTTCAAGCCACGCACGATACGGCGAGTTAGTTTCAGGTAATTGCCTAAATGCCTGTCAGTAATAGGGTAGAGATTAAGCTTATTTAGGAGGAGCTCATATGTGGTCACACCTTGTTCCCTTACCAATTTTGTGGTCCGCCCCTACATATTTTCAAGTAGCTTGTACTCCTGCTGCATCCACCATCCACAGGTTTGGGTTGCGTATTCAAGATGTAGCATGGTTTACTTATTTATTGTCAGTTTACAGGCAAGGTTAAAAGAGATACAAAGTAGGGGATCGAGCTAACAGTAAAAAACTCTCGATCCTTTTCTTTAGTGTTTTCAGTAGAAAAACTGCAGCTCGCTGAGGTACGTATTGTGCTCTGTCTCCCTTCGTTGTTATATCATCTGATATCCAGCGCTAGAGAAAAGTGTGTCGGCGAACGTTTTCTCGCTGTCAGCCGAAGTATCAGCCGATCGCGGGCTGCAGAATCAGGCTCACTGTTCCTAGTATGAGACCTGGCACAGGGTTCAGAATCCACGAATGCGGTCAGAGTGGAAAAGCGATTCCACCGAATTACCATCCAAAATTCGTGAAAGATGTCCTGAAAATAGAAACCTAGTAATGGTGCTCCTAAAAAGGAGAGCTTTGTTGAATTCTGGTATTCTGAGTATCTTATTCCGAATTGCTACGCTGTTAACTGAAAAAACTGGCGATATCTAACTGTGCGTGCCAGAGGAAGAAATAAAAAAAGATGTCTCGGCGACTGATGCACCGAGAGTGGTCGAGCTGCCTCAGAGTAGTAAGGGGATTAAAAGTAGGGCTGTTTAAACGATAAAGGTAGTCCCTTCTGTAATCTATGAAGCCACAACGAACCAAGAGTGGTGGGTTCAGAACGTTGTTGATAGGATAGGTTAATACAAGCAAATCCTCTGTGTCCAGGATAGGTAAAGGTGTTCTGAAGAGCAAACGCTTTAAGTAAAGAAATTCTGGACCGATTCTATTTTCCTCCGTTCACTCGCGCCTAGAAGACTAAGTAGAAACGAGCAATATTGCAGACTAGGCATAACTTACAATTAATAAGGCTAGCGCTAATCGTGATAGTTTTAAAACTTCTGAGAAAAAAACGGTAGTTCGGCATGGTTTCGAGACAGAAGGGGCGAATGCTTCGACGGATTATGACCATTAGAAAATCATATGCCCAAATCCTTCATAACTCCGGACATATAAGTCGGATCTGTCTATCCGTAGCTGAATGAAAATAACGTCACCAACAACCATAGTAGAACATTTGTTCCAAGAGATGGAAAGGCGCCATGTGCAGCACCACTGAGCAAAAGCTTGGATATCCTTTTTAAGACCTCAAGTACGGTGTTGCGATATGGTTGTTAATATTGATACACAACTTTTAAATTGTAGGGTATCGGATCAGGGAAAAGATTTCGATTTCCCAGACGCAACAGTGTACAGTCGGTGTCTTTTCATATTTTTATATTATCCGCAAACATGGCACACTCACAATCCAACTCCTGTACACAATAATTAACGTACAAAAGAAAGAGGGTTGGTCCGAACACAGAAACCTTGTGCGCTTCCACTCTCCATGGCTGTAGCTCTTGATTGTTGTCGTCCCACACACAACTTAGGAGCTACCAAAATGACATTTCGATCAGCGTAAGAACTTTGCCTCCGATGTCCATCACTCTCAACTTGTAAAGGAGACGTTAGTGTGACTTACTTCGAAGGCCGTCCGGAAGTCAGTTTTAGGCCGCACACGCAGTGCGTTTTATGTCGAGGGCCCTGGTCCAGCTTTGAATCGTATAATAAGGTTTCTTTATAAAGCACATCTTCGGTGCCGTCAAAACCGGCTAAAGCAAGTTCGGTACACACGACCTTCCCCTACGAAAGGCACAGTATACATTGGATAAGAGATTGTGGGTTTCACTCATTTTTGATGATCTTCTCCATTACCTTGGAGTAAATGGGGGCCAAACTGACGGGCCAGGTCAGGCCAGGATTGTTAAGGGACATATAGAAAAACGCCTTTGAACTCCATATTTGTACAAACCAGTTAAGAACCGCAATGGTACAGCAGAACATTTCAAGAGAAGTCGTTAAAATACCTGCTGGCGAAAGGCAGGCAGACGCCAGTTAGTTTGGAAAGTA